AGTTGTGTTTTGAAAGCTTCATGGATTCACCCAGAAAACCAGGATAGAGGCGTACGGGAAACAGGGTTTAATAATAGACAAATCCTTCAATATGACCCAAATAGATATTCTGTTTTTCTTTCTTTCAAACACACAGATACCATTTTCCCTGCTCCTTCGTGGCCATTTTGAGTTTTACTCTTACAAGTTCAAAATAGGACTTTCTGTGCTCCATAAAAACATACAATTTGCATGCAATTACTCCAACAACTAATTTCGGACAGTAAAATAAAACATTGGCTGCATGTTCAGAGTAACAAATTACATTTTAATAACTCGTTTGTATGAGGAGAGAGTTCAAATAGCAATAAATCATTCAACTCAACAATGTGATTGTATATATTAACGTGTAGTATATAAAGAAAGTGGGAACAATAATATATATATATATATATAATAGTAGTTGTAGTACTTGGTACGTGCTGAGGCAAACTGTATTTCGGTCTTTTTTGGCATGTAAAATAAATATTTAATTCTTTCAACAAAATAATACAATATAATTGTATATAATGTATTTATTTTTAATTTTAACTGTTATTTTTTATTTTACTTGCTATTTTTACTGTATCTTTTATTTTATTACATTTAATTGTTTTATTTTTATTTCATTTATTATTTTATTTTGATTTGTATTATTTTATTTACTGTTATTTTATTTTACTGATTTGTATTAAGCAGCCATAACTGAAAGCCACATTTTAATTTGATTTATTTTTACATTACATTTTAATTGTTTTATCTTAATTGCATGAACACTTATTGATATATATATATTTTTTATTTTACATTTCATTTTATTTATTTTGTTATTTTAATTTTTTTTCCCATTGCATTTGCAGCCATGAAAGCCACGTTCAGAATTAATTAAAAACCATAATCAGTGCAATACAATATTTGCAAACAATGTCATATTCACATACATATAATGTCAGGAGATCCCATATTCATTTATTATGGTTTTATTTTAATAGTAGCTATTATACTGGGAACTAAGGTTGCCATGGTAAAAAAAATACATCAAAATAACGTTTTACACCTATCATTGTTTATTTTTTGTATTTCTCTGCCAGCAACAGTCTTGACGGGAGTCTTGTTTGAGTGTTGTTTACTGATAATATCGCATAGTTTCCCTGGGAACAGAGATATTTCCTTATCTGCATTTCCATAAATACAATTATGAGTAATCCATGCCTTTATGCATGATAAGACAACAAAATATGACCAATTCACAGTAAGTTCACTGGAAAAAACAAATCACGCATTGGAACACTCTGGACTGTCCAACACTAAACCGCTCAATCATCGCTGAGCGTCCCATTTTCTGGCCTTTCGTAGGATTTCCAGTGGGTGCCACATTAATTATTAAGCTCTATTTATAGAACCCCATTACCTGCTCCAAAAAAAGCCTGTCATTCCCACAGCATGGGTTTTTAGAAAGGTGGATGCTGAGATGAATTATCTATATCATCTTTCCTGTGGCCTCGGTGGGTTTTTGGATTATTCAGAGCCAGTCTTTCATCCTGTGACGTACCTTTCCAGCATTTCACACTCAAGGCCATGGGTTCATTTAATGATGGGTAATTAATGTGGCTGAAATTATGCCGCACACTTACTGGGATTGTCAAAGAGATGAAGCAGTACAGATATAGCAGCTATATTGGTTTATGGGTCAATGACAAATGAGGATGTCTGGGATGATAAAAAGGAAAAATAAAAGCCTAGTTCATGATCATCTTGTATTGAGGTTGGTTTCATACATTTTTTGAAAATATTTTTGTACAAAGATTATGATACTTACTATATTATTCATTTGTATTTTTTCATATCTTTCATACTTTGTGTGTGTGTGTTTCATTGAAAGAAGTCTCTTATGTTTGTCAAGGCTATTTATATGATCAAAATACAGTAAAATTGGCAGTACTGTGAATATTATTACAATTAAAAATCAAAAACATTGCTGTTATTAAAATTAAAAACATTATTAAAATGAAAACATTATTCAAATGTAAATATTATCAAAATAAAAACAAACATGATATTCTACCATTAAAAAAAAGTAATACTTTATTCAGCAGTGATGCATTAAATTGATCAAAAGTGACAGTAAAGATATTGGGACATTTATAATGTTACAAATATATTTATATACATTAAAAAAAAAAAGTATAATGTTTTCCTACAAAAATATTATACTGTAAAAACTGTTCTATTAGAACCATTATTAATAGCTGAGCACCAAATTACAGGAATAGTTTACATTTTAAAATAGTAAACAGTTCTTTGAATAATTTGTAATAATATTTAAAAAGCAAACAAACAAGTAAGTGTCATGTTTCCACAAAAATATAAGGCAGTAAAAACAGTTTTATAAAAACCATTATTAATAATTGAGCACCAAATTACAGGAATAATTTACATTTTAAAATATATTAAAATAGAAAACAGTTCTTTTTTTTAATTGAAATAATATTTTAAATTATTACTGTTTTTATTGTTTTTTTGTTCAAATTATTACAGCCTGGGTGAGCATAAGAACTTCTTTCAAAAATATTTAAAACATGAATGTTTTGCGTTTTCCTTTTTGCCAAATAGCACAGGAGGCCTTTTTAAGCTTAAAAGTGTTTTTTTTTTTGTTTTGTTTTTGTCTTTTTGTAAGTGCAAGTAATTTCTTAAAACAGCACCACAGTGTAGCATGACACATCTTGCATGCAAAATTGTCTTTAAAATTTTTAAAAATAAAGGCTAATTCTCATTAAAACCACAGTACAGCCTGGTAAAAGTACATTTTTGTTTCCATGTGTAGCCTATATGTGTTTACATCTGTTTATGCCCACCCAGCAGGTGTTGTGTTGCGCGCCTCTAGGCCCCAGTCACACCCCCATCAGAGGGATTTCTCCAGCCCACTGTGGCTTATTCTAATTACACAATGGGTGAATTCTCCTATTAATATCCATTTTCAATCTCGCTGAGCACTAAAAGGTCATTATCCCGGTCCCGAGAGTGTGCCACGCTCAGACGCAAGCACGTGTGGGCCTCGGCCAGCCTGGAGCTAAATCAAAGGGATTTACGTCGTCCAGTGCTGTGAAATCATGTTTCATGTACAATCATGGCTGTAGTACCAAAGTACCCAACTTTAATTACAGAAAACAGGCTCGCCGCACGTGATAATGCTGAATGCGGACTTTTCTGAAGTGTTTACTGTAGGTCAGGTTGCACACCAACAAAACGCTACACGTGTTATGTATATTTCAGTATAATTTATTTTGAATATTTTTGGCATCATGTGCATAAACCGTCTTCATTTCACTACATGGATTCATAATACAACAACCTCTGATTGTAGTTCAAGGTAGCATTTAAGCAAAACAAATGTATCTGGTTATTATGGGAGACCAGTTCAGCCATGGCAAAAAAATAAATAATAATTTTTTTAAATATATAAAAAAGTTAATTTGCAACATTTTTATTTCACAATTCAGACTTTTTTCCCCTCGCAACTGTGAGAAGAAAAAAAAAAACAGAATAATAATTGCGAGAAATAAACTCCGAAACTTTTCTTGAAATTCCGATTTTGACTTCATGCAATTTTGACTTTTTTTCTCAGAATTCTGATTTTGCATCTGGGAATTCTGAGTATACATCTCACAATTTTGATTTTTTTCATCAGAATTCTGAGTTTACATGTCACAGTTTTGACTTTTTTTCGCAGAATTTTGAGTTTATATCTCGCAGTTCTGGCTCTTTTTTTCTCAGAATTGTGAGAACGTCCAAAATGTGAGACTCAGAATTGCAAAAAAACCCCAAAAAAAAACAAAAGAAATCTCTGCATTACTGTTTTATTTATTTATTTACGTTATCCTGTGGTGGAGACAAGCTTCCATAGGTCATGGTCGAGGCCTGTCGGGCACTGAATTTTAAAAAGAAAGACAGATAGAAAAAAAGGGAAAACAAACTGCGCTGGTGCAGCAGGAATTTTATGGTTAAATGTGCTTCTAATTAAGCAAGAAGAGCATAATAAATGTACAAAATAATCATTTTAATTCACATACAGGTGCTTGTGGGCATTCAGTTTAAGGAAAGATTTCATAACAAAAGTACTCTTCATATAGGGTTTCTTAAAAGCACAGGCTAGCTATTATTATCGATATTATGGAGTTAATATCAAGCAGCAACATGGGTCCGGCCCATTTTTTTTCCTCTTACTTTAATGCATTTTAAATTATTGACTAGTTCTGTATTTTTTTTTTTTTTGCTATTTATGTTTTTGGTTCTATATGTAAGCATATTATTTAGCACTGTTTTATCCAAAGTAACACTTAATAGTAACTTTCAATAATAACTTCAATAAGAAACATGCTTAAAGTGTGTAATTTCTGCGCAACAAGCAGCACCAAAACCGAATCGCAAAAATAATGATTGTTTTCCATAGCACTCATGCTATTGGTTGAGGCAAAGTTGCTATGTTGCAAAAAAAGCAAATTTTACTTTAAATTTGACTTTAATTTACTCTTTATCTCTTTTTAGTCTTTGTATTTAAGCTATCACCTTGAACAGATCAAGAGTTCATGTAGATTCAAATATGAATATTTATGAATGTTTCAGACACTATGAATGTACATTGATTAATGATTTGTTGAGCATTTTGATATTATTGAAAGTTACTGTAAAGTGTTACCAAATCCTGCACACCAAGGCAAAACCCATCATGTCTTTAATGGCAACATTTAGTTTACCCAAAAATGACAATTCTGTCATCATTCACTCACCTTCATGTCATCCCAAACCTGTACAACATTCTTTCTTCTACAATACCCAAAAAGAGGATATTTTTGAAAAAAAAATCTGTTTTTTTTTGTTCATGCAGTGAAAGTCAGTAGTGTCCAAATGTTAGTTTTGGACCCCATTGACCTTCATTGTATGGACAAAAACAGAAGAAGGTAAGTCATACAGGTTTGAAACAACATGAGGTGAGTAAATGATGACATAGTTGTCATTTTTGGGTGAACTATCCCTTTAAAGTCTCTACAAATCTGTAATTGTCTATCGTTTCTTCTTCTGTTTAAGAGATTTCCTTCGTTTGACGATCATCTCATATAGTTTGTCCATTCCTTCATGGAGACCCTCGCCAATGATGGCGCAGGCCGGTTGGACGTGGTATGTGGTGGAGGGACTCAGTTCATGGAGGGCCAGGTGTTTCTCGATCTCGGTGACCGTCAGGGATTTAGGGAGGTCCTGCTTGTTGGCGATCACCAGCAGAGGAGTTCCTTGGTTTTCTGCGAATTTGGTGACTTTATGCAGCTCCGTCTTGGCTTCCTCAAGTCGGTCGACATCTACAGAGTCCACCACGTAAATAATACCGTCCGTACAGCGGCTGTAGGATTTCCACAAGGGTCTTAACTTCTCCTGCCCACCGACGTCCCAGAAGTGACAGCTGATGCCTTTGGCGGTGCCATTGCTGAGTTTGATCTTCTCAGTGTTGAAGCCAATGGTTGGAACGGTGTTGACGAATTCGTTGAACTTTAACCGATAGAGTACAGTGGTTTTACCGGCCGAATCCAATCCGAGCATCACAATATGCAGGGACTGGAATGCAGCAATGTTGGAGAAACCGTTCCCCATCTTATGATGAATGTATAACAATCAATAAATCACATAGCAACCTTGCATCTACAAGCATCTGAAGCCCAGCTTGAGGCTTCCAGGCTCCCGATTCATTGGTTATTTAGCTTCCAAACTTGATGACTTGGAGACTGAAGGAAAAACCACCAGGTTATGATCCCGTAAAGCGATCCAAAAAACATGCACAGGAGAGGCACCTCAATGTGTCAATGGTCCATACTTATCCATGCAAACCCATAAAAGCATCCTTGATCTCCATTACACATCAGCCCAGGCAGGTATGCATGGTCGGTCTGGGAAGGGCGTTGGGTTCTCCTCCTGTTTTCAGATGATATGTTGTGCTGCAGACCGCAGACCTCCGTTTATCTCCTCTGTATGTTTACAAAGAGCCCGATCAGATTTCTTTCCCACGCAGCATAAATCTGAAACAGTAAGGTCAGGGAGCGAGGCGTTTCCTCAGTGGTGATAAAAACAGCCCGACAGTGAGAGTAGATGGAGGTTTCCCCGCTGTACTCTGCCTCACACCGAAGCACTGCTGCTGCTGTCTGTGCGTGTGCATGAGGAATACAAATCTGTGTGAACTCCTCCCACACAGGGAAGCAGAAGCATGGAGATGCCAGTTCATAAAGTCACTTCACAACACTGCATGCAAAGCCACCCCATGTACATCATGAGACATATATATACTGTATGTATATATAAATTTAATGCTTAAGCTTTTATATATTTAAACTAATATTTTTAATATTTCTATATTTGTATTTTTATATAGAACTAATAATAGTTTGTATTGCATAAAATGACTAATATTACTTTGTTAGTTTCAGGTTCTTAGGATTGTAATTATGATTTTAAAAACTCAATTGTGACATCTATTTATTTTAAAGTAAAATTTATTTAAATTTTAAAATTAGTATTATGGTGTGACATTTTAACCCATTAGACTCAATACATTGTAAAAAAAAAAAATGTGAGTCTTCTGACACCTAGTGAAAAATACATGTATAACAACCTCTTTCATGAGTTCGCCTGCCCATCCAGTACTGATGGTTAATGGCAAACAAACTTGGCTTGCTGTCCTCAATGGAGGCTTGGCTTGAGTTCCGAGTTCAACCTCCCCAATGTGGTACTACATAGAGGGAGAATAACAGAAATAGAGCAGGAGATGGGGAGGTGAAGGGATGCCGGAAGAATTGATGTTGGGACGGTGCAATGAGTGCGGCTTATATAGGCTCAAAATGATGATTGACAGGACTGAATGATTAGGCTCCTCCCGGACCTACATTTGGAGCTTCATTTAAAATAATCTTGTAAAAATGTGTGTGTGTATCTTTGGGGAATCATTACATAATCTAGATGATTACTCAGGTTTGTTGAGTGCCAAAACTGTAGTGTTACTTTTCTACCAGTAGATGTCAGGATTGCAGAAGTTAACAAAAAAATAGGATCCTTCCCAGAACAAGTGAACATCAATTTATTTACTACACAAGGAAGTAATGTTTTGACCAAAAACTTTTTCATCCACATCAAACGCCTTCAGTTTAAAATTCAAGACTATTGTATCCGTGAAACAACATCAACAACAACAGAAAAAAATTACTTGGTGCTCACTTTGTGTTAAAAAAGGTCACTTTCACCATAATTACTAACGCCTGATGTTCATAATGTTAATTAGTTTTGTAATTTCTGACATTATTTTTAGATGACGGTTTACAAAATCTCAGTTCTCACACAATGTACCTTACAGCACACACACAAAGGCTTTAAGCCGACTGAAGCTAGTCTGTCTGAGTTTGTGTGTACACATGTGTGTGTAAGGATGTCAATACAAAAAGGATTTAGGGAAGAAAACAAAATAGTGAGAGTTGTACAGTTGTCAGCAGATCACTGAAAACCAGTCATGAAGTAATTAAAGAGATGTAGTTGTGATTATAAAACTCAAATTTACAAAAAATGAATGCTGTTATTTATTTCAAGTTGTTTATTGTTGTTGCTGTTGTTATTCTGTGGGGGGGGGGGGGGGG